AACCATAATTTTTTCCCATACTTTTCTGGGGACTGAAGTGTTTTAAAACTTCCGTGCTGGTCATTACACAAACATTCCCTGGACTGCACCTCACGTATCGACCAGTATCGCATGTTTTCTGCTGTTTCCCTGTCATTTTAGGCCGAACTGAAGCATGAATCACCTGAGCGGCGAGCGGCGTTTTCGCGAAAATCGGTTTTGACTTGGAACCATGAGCGGCGCTGAGCGGTGCCGCTCACCGCCGCTCGCCGCTCAGACGTATCGTGGCCAACCTCAACAAATTTACACGCAACTAAATGAGACCCGATGTCAGAGCGGCGCCGCTCATGCCGCTCGCCGCTCACCGCTCGCCGCTCGCCGCTCGTATCGTACCCGGGGCCTTATACACTTCTGTCTGCTGTGCGCTATGTTACAACAGATTTCAGATACAACAGCTGGGGAATGATGACGATATAATGCTTAGTAAACTGTGATTAGTAACCATGGTAACTTTAGTTAGGCTGTGATTGGGCAATGAGTAGGCCTAAATATGGAGACTTGTTGAATTTGTGTATGAATTGAAGAAAAAAACTTATAAAGAACAGAAGAACAAAGAAAAAGAATAACAAGATTGTTCTCGTTACATTCTTTTTTAAGAGTGTTTTTATTATCTCTAAATATAATTTTACACCTTTTTATTACTTATCTATCAACTCCTATGCTGTGATACAGCACCTACCGGTAGGCTATCTGTCTATCATGAGCAGTAGCTTTTATAACACTTTCTAAAGGTTCCTTTAATATTTACGTTATTTATAGCAATGCAGTGTTTGGCTAGTTATTAGTTGTGTTTGAGCACAGAAAACGTTTGAGTTAGCTATAATTTTAAACGATGCCGTTTGTACAACCGAACCAAGATAAATGATTTGAAATGTAAGTTACAATAATAATCATTGTGCAATATTGAATTTCGTTTATAAAAATGCAAATCGTGACGTTAATGGCTGCTTACCGCGTTTTAATGGGTTTGTCATCTATTTTTATATTATATTGGATTAACCGTATTTTTCATTACCCACTACCCCCCTCCCTATTAACTCAGGTAATCGAGTACTGTATCTAAACAATAGTGTAAAGTATTGTAGCCTATGCTACTTGATTGTATTTTAACTAGCTTTATGTCAACAAAGCGTTCTGGGCTAAGTCGCGGTGTAGCTGGACGTGGGTGTGCCAATCTTTTATCTATCACAGCAGTTGAGCCATTCCGTGCCTTCCCTCATAGATCTCACGTCTTACTAAGCTTGAATAATAACTTCCTACAAATCCTAAACTATCAGTAAATCCTATTTTTCCTACAGTTACCTAACAATGTACATGTTTCTCACTGATTTAAGAAAGCAAAGTGGCCAATTCGCTTATCAGTGAGACAATGTTAACATTGTCTCACTCTAATTACTTTGTCTCACTCCAGATTTGCAACGTGAAGGCACGGAATAGTGAGCGCGTAACATGCAGGCAACGTCGTATGCGCGCGAAATACGTTGGCAGCACTGGCTGTAAATCAGCTGGTCAGCTGTTGTACTGTTGTATTTGTCACTTCACATTAAATGTTATGTTAAAAGTTCACTTCTGTGTAAAAATAGGTTATGTTTCTTCACCAATTTATTTGTTTTATGGTATCTGTAGGAAAAGTATAATGTGCAACTCGAGTTCAAAGTACAATTGCCTCACTCGAGAAACCATTCCTCACTCGCCTACGGCTCGTGAGTAAGGATTTCTCTCGAGTGAGTCAATTGCTCACTTTTCTCACTAGTTGCACAAATAACTATTTACTAATTGAATGAAATAATATAACTATTGTCATTAATTAATCGACTTTCTATCTGGCGACTTCGTAATGTATTTTTTATTTTCGTCACGTTGAACACTGTTGCAATTAACTATAGCCCCCCATTTTAGTTTTTTGAACCCCCCCCCCAAGAACTTCAATGACGCAGTCTGCGTCACAGCCCCCCCTTGTGGGCACCCCTGTACAATAAATAAAAATTATAGGCCCTATTATATACAATTATATACAAAATTGATATACAATAAATCTAAAAATTTAAAATGTTAGTTAATTTACAAAGAAGGTGTAGAATAAATCTAGAACATGTGTTTTGAAATATAAACAAAGCAGAAGTTTTCCATCTTGAATCGTTAATTATTTAGTCAACGTGGTTATTTCATGTTAAACGTTAAAAATACACAAATTTGAAAAGTTTCACAGTAAAATAATTTACTTCAACATTCTATAACCCTAAAAAGTCTTAATTAATATAGGTACCCTTAACCCTGGTTTTATAGTATACAGTATGTTGCAGAATTGACTAGCAAATGGAGTAATCCAGATGTAATTTTGCATACTGGCTTAAAGATAAATCACGATCAAAAAAGTTTTGGAATTTCACTACCGGTATTTTTCCCGCCGTTACGGGATCGAGACCTTTAATTTGAGCCCTCTCCGGTCGTTCTACAACTTCCCAGTTGCCCACAATTTTGACGCAAAGAATCGGCTTACGTCATTAATATATAGTTGTGTCATAATTTAAAAAATCCGGTACAGCAGTAAAGCAGTATAAAAAAATTCAGGCTAAGAATCATGAAACAGTCTTGTTACCATCCATGGGGCAGGACTAAAATTGAAGTTTAAATTTTGATTTTAAAATAGCCACCTAAGTAATCATTCTCTAATTGTTATGGAATATGCTCAGGTTCATTGTTAATAAGTATGTGCAATATTTAATATAATACTAAAATTTGAAGGCTTTACTTTCAATGTCCTTTATTTTATTGTTATATTTAAAAGTTATTGCTAAAAGTAATATTTGTAATTGTAATTTATAACATTATAGATTCCGTGCTTGCAATACAGGTAGTGTAATAACGTTTAGTTTTTGAAATCCGAATAGAATTAATAATAAATAAAAAAACAGTATTTTCTACCACTTGTAGCTACGGGCCACCAGTTCTGGTTACGATAGTAATAATTCCCTGTGTTGGGAGGGAAACGCCACCGAGCGTCCTTACTCGATATAATGGGGGCGAAAAGCGACGAATTACCCACCCAGCCGTGGCGCGGGGATTTCTGAAGCGTCCGTCCGGGTGAAACACCATTTTGAGGGTGTCCGCGTCAAACACGTCCGGGCTAAACACGGAGCCATTAGCGCAACGATACGGCTTGTAGCCATCGGCCTCGGTAGTCTAATGGATAAAGTGCTAGCGTTGACTGTAAATGTGCTAGGCTGAGAAACTAAAGGTACATACCAGGTTCTACCAGGTACTAACTTTATCTAAGATTTTTGCATTATCAGCAAGTTTGGTTAGGTTATGACAGTTTAATTTTATAATAAAAAAAAAATTAAATTGAATTTGAGGCATTTATAGTTTCATTTTATGAACAGAACTATTTTTTTGATAAGTAAACCTTCATTCAATTTTGTCATTATCAACAAGTTTGGTTAGTTAGGTTAAGTTATAACATTTTAATTTTATAATTAAAAAATTAATTATAAATTTTTTTAGTTTTATAATAAATTTTTTTTTTATTTCTAATTTTAAACTCTCATTTTGCCCGTATTAAAAAACTGCAGCTGAAATAAAAATTTCCGAGCCCACCTCCGCTGACCGCTCCGCTCGGTGCTCGCTCAGGCTCAGTTCAGTTCAGTGTTTAGTTCCTCTTCTGCTCTGCTCCGTCTGTTCCGGTTCTCAGTTCAGTTCAGTTCTCTCTTTTCTCAGTTCTCAGTTCTCATCTCATCTCACTCTCACTCTCACTCTCACTGATCTCAGTTCTCCACTCTACTCCTACTCCTACTCTCACCACGACCTTCTCACCGCAGTATTTCACCTTCCTTTTTTTGAACTTTTGGAACAGTTACACGGAACTGTTTGGAATAGATTTGTTAAAACCGTTACATTACAAACAAAGAGTTCCATTCCATTTCCTTTTTAGGCGTTCATTTTGTTTTTCGTGGATCTCTGTCTTTAACCTCCATTTTGTCAAGTGATTGGAAACTTTATCTCAAATCGATGGTGTTATTTCAAGTTAAAGAGTTACTGGATCAGTATGTCTGATATTAATACAAAAAAGTTTGAATGTTCATTTTGTGACAAACACTTTTGCTAGTAAATTTAATTTAACGCGCCATACACGTAATGTGCATGATAGTTGTTGTAGTGAACAATCTGACTGTTCAAACAACCCGAAAAGGCTTATTTGCCCAAAGGCCCAGAGGGTGATTGCTCTCATCAATTTTCGTGGTTTGAAAACTTGATCCAGCATCTGGAAGAAGCCCATGCCATTGAAATAATAGTTGGGGAGCTGAATTTTGAAACAGAAGAAGGTAAGTTAAATTTATTATAATTATGAACTTCACAATACTGTATCCAAAATATAACTATAAATATAATAGTAAAACTTTTGATTTTAATTTGGATGTGCTTTTTCATTGTGACTCCTGCTCCATCAACAATACCTTATACCTTATAACCTTTCTCATTGTTAGCAAATTTAACAAAACTGTGCAATTTCTTTGAATAGTTTTCCTTAATATGCTATTATATCATTGTCTTTTAAGAATAAGCCGGTTTTCGTGATGTAATGTAAGAATAATTAAATAAACGAAACCAGTTAACTAACTTACAGGTTATGTCCATGTCTATAAAAGACTTGTTATTATTATGAGGAGGAGGAAAAAAGGTATATCATAATAATTAAATTTTTATGCAGGAAAAATAATAAAGTTGAAAAGGAACGGAGCTATTTGTAATATAACGGTTTCGCCTAACCTATTCTATACTTTTTGTCACAGTTGTATTGAACATTATCCCAAACAGTTCCGTGTAACTGTTCCAACGGTTCTAAAAAAAGGGAGGTGAAATACTGCGGTGAGAAGGTCGTCTCTCACCCTGTTCTCCTTCTCCTTCTCCTCGGGCTCGGGCGTTCTGTTCTGAGTGAGAGTGACTAGTTCTCGTTCCTCGTTCTCGTTGTTCGTTCTCTCTCGGTTGGAATAGTTTTTAGTTACAGTGTAGTTGAACGCCATCCAGTTTCTTGTTTCTAGCCTAGCTAGAATTAATTAAATTTTCTAACAGAATAATAATTTTGACCGTCTAGGAGTCGAAAAGTCAAAGGAATTTTGAAAATGGAAACGGATCAGCCCAACCCATTTACTCTCACACTAGGTTAGTTTACAGCACTAGGTCTATTCTCTTTATAACAACAGACAGTAGGCCTATATGAATATGTAGTAACGCCTTCTTTAAACAATTCCAACTATACGTGGCCTACGCTTACGATACAGTAGCATAACATGGTTTTAAGTTATTAGGCCTAGCCAATTGCTCATAAACTCCTCTCAACTCACCAGCATGGGTTCTCGACTGGCAGGTCAACCTCGTCCAACCTAGTAATCTACCAGAATTTCCTAGTTTCCAATGTGCCGATGGGACTTCAGGTCGACAGCTTTTACTTGGATTTCCAGAAGGCTTTTGATCGTGTTAACCACCAGATACTACTTTCCAAAATGGCAAGTTATAGAGTCACTGGACAACTCTTGAAATGGTTCCGCTCATACTTGGATAACCGGGAACTTATCGTAAAGTTTCAACAATCAATGTCTAAACCCTTCACTGCAACATCTGGCGTCCCTCAAGGCTCACACATGGGTCCATTTCTGTTCTCATTATATCTTAATGACATCATAGAACTCATGGATGTTAATAAACTGTTATTTGCTGATGATATTAAGATTTTTACGGCCATTTCTTCCATTGAAGATTGTACAACACTCCAGAACTGCCTCAGGAGGATATGCGACTGGTGTGTCTCTGATATGAGTCTCAACATCAAGAAATTTATTGCAATCACCTTTAGCCGTAGCAAGAGACTATGGTCTAACTTAGGCCTAAGTCATTTGGCTTTTTTTGGCAAATGTCTTTGACCTATAGGGCGACCACATAGAACACTCTTTTCTAAGTGGTCGACCTACAGGCAAGCCCATTTCCTTTTTCCTTTAAAACTTTGGGGGGCAAACGCCTATTTCACCTAGAATCCGCGTTTTAAGGTTGCCTCATTTAGGCATGTTAGGATGATACGCCTAAGTTAGGTCAGAATTTATGTGGATTCAGGGCTGTAACTGATTAAGCTTAACCCTCCTTCGGTCGCATCCCAATCTATTAGGCCTACTTAACTTAGATATTGTATAGGCCTACATTAAAAAGTTCTTGCCATTTTTGTGTTCCCGCTCCAAAACCAGCCTTGGCCAGTGTGCTGCTTCCTCCCCTCCCCCCAACCACTTCAGTACCCATCGCTGTTTGCGCCGTCCTGTGCACACATAGGCTACTTTACTTAAGTACCTACCTTGTTTTGCTGAGTTGTATCTGATCGATGCAGTACTATCGGTGCCATTCCTAATTTGTGATGTAGGCCTATCCCAAAATAAAAACAGGATATGGTCTCGTTTTTACAGGATAAGCTCTAACTTACACATGTGTCATATCATTCAAAAATTCATACCGATGATGATGGAGGGTGAGGACAATTGGACCTGTGTGTCACATTACATCCAGGGTATTTTCCGCGCCAAGAAGCTTGACCTTGACTGGGATGTGGTGTAGGTCATAAAGTATGTAAATGTCAGAAACGGTGAGAGCCCTGAGGTCTTAGGTCACATGTTGGCCTGACTTTGAAGTAACTTAATGTGACAAACAGTCTGTGTCCAACAGAGTAGAGGGGTTTTTTTAGTGAGTAGTCTGTGATAAATTCAGGAGGCTTGCTCACACTACAGGCTGGCTACCTGTGTGCATAAAAGCATTTTCCCTCCTCCCTTGAAAAAAAAAAATATATATTCTTAAATTAGGTCATTCCATTAAATATTGAACTTAGGCTAATTAAGTAAATTTGTTTTTACCCAGCAAAGAAAATGTTGAGTTCAATTTTAACTTAGCCTAGATATAAGTTAACAGTTGCACTGGCCGCAATTCAATTTTACACGGGCATGTTCGCACTATTGTATCTAGGCTAATGGATACAGGAATGCGTACATGGTCTGACAACTTTTTTTACTATTTGAGAATTGCTTATACGACGGCAAATGTGTATGAAATCTATAGGTCAAGAGTTGGTTATATTAAGGAAAATAAAAATTAGGGGGAAAATATAGGCTATGTCCAAAGTAGCCTGTGACTCAAAAGAGTTTTTGAGGAAAAATCTACCTATCTGAGAGATAAAATGTTGTTTTTTTTTTGACGAAATCTATCCAGTCACTACTGGTCAATGATGGATAGGCTACATGGTATAAAGGTATAACTTATTGAGCCAGCAGTCACTTAAAAAAATTACTAGGTGCGACCGACGGAAGGTTAAGTGTTTTTGCTTGAGGTAGCCTAAAGTTTATCCTAAGTTAACTTAGGCCCAAACTTTAAAAACTGCTAGTTGTAAGTTTATGTTATCATGACTTTTTGTGCAATTAACCCTAGATCCGCTGACCATTTTTTCCAAAACGCTACAGGTTTTAGGGCAGTTTTGCGTTATAGGCTATTTAGTTTATAGGCTACCTAAGTTCTACCAAAAACACAAACATATTATTTATCATTTCATTCTGTAGATCAAGGACAATTTTAAATACCAATTTTTGTGATTAGAGGTCTTTCGAAGTTTACCGATTCTCGTGTAACCTTGAGTGCCTATTATGGACTGATTTACCCATTATTGTCGTATTTCGTGGCAGTTTGGGGCTGTGAGATCGTACTAACAAAGTTTGTTTTCCGTCTTCAGAAAATAGCCCTAAGAGCAGCCTTTAAAATGTTCCGTCGTAGCCTACATCTTGCAAGCCTCTCTTCAAGGAATACAATATTCTCACATTTCCATCCATATACATACTGAGTTGTCTTATCGTTTTTTAAAATAAATTATTATCTGTATCAACCGCAGTTCCATTCAATGTAGTACACTCTACTCGACGTTCTGTACCCACGAGCCCCTCAGATTCCACACGCACAGAAGGCCTTGGAACAGTTCCTGGTGTTACATATTAAATAAAAGATGTGTAAAATAAAATAGGTGTATTCTGAATTGAATCCTAGAATAACAATGATTGTAAACAAAAACAAAGTTAACTCATTAAACATAACATATTGTATTTTTTTAAACATACAGTATGTTAGAAAAGACACATCAATTTTCCCCCTTTAAAGTCTTGACCGCAGCATTTGATCTACATGTCGTCTGCATGTTACTCCGTTCTCCAGTTCAACGTTGTAATGTAGATTTCCATCTCTTGATGTAAATTTTCCGAAACTCCATTTTGTCTGACCCTTGTAAGTTTCTCACTTGAACACGGTCTCCCACCTTAAAAATGCGTGTTATACCTTTAGGTTTGTCTTTTGAGTCCTCGATTCTAGAAGGTATCATAACACTGGTTCTTACTTGTCTGTTGAACATGAGATAGTATGCCGAGTTTCCTGTTGAGTTTGGTACTTGACGGAGTTGAATTAACACCTTGTGAATTTTACTGTCAAGTGTTACTGGTTCATCTAATATCTTACTTCAATATCTTCTTCACTGTTTGTTCAAAGCGTTCAGCTTGTCCATTAGATGATGGGTGGAACGGAGCAGTCGTTTTGTATTGAGTTCCACATGACTTAAGAAACTCTTGAAAAGTAAGAGTTAAGTGAAACTTCGTCCATTGTCTGAAATTAGGAGGCTTGGAAGACCAAAAGTACTAAAAAGTCTCAACTCCTTAATAGTCCAATCGGTAGTTGCTGTTTTTGTGGGTATTACCTCTACCCATTTGGAGAAGGCATCAACAACAATGAAAAATTGTTGTCCATTTGTTGGGCCCATGAGATCTATATGTTTTCTCTCCCATGGCTGAGTTGCTGGTTCCCAAGGATGGTTGATCTCTTTCGTTGGAGAATTTTGTTTCTCACGACAAGGCTTGCAAACAGCAATCATGTTTTCAATGTCTTTATCCATTCCTCTCCAAAAGCAGTAACTTCTTGCCAAAGCTTTGGTTTTTACTATACCAATGTGCCCGTAGTGTAGTTCATTGAAAATTCTTTTCTTAAGGGAATTTGGGATGATTACTTTCCACCCTTTGAAGAGGCATCCTTCATGTAATGTAACTTCATTATCGTGAAATCCCAATGGCTCTAATGATTGACCCTCCTCAAGAGCCTCAAGAATTTGTTTTAGATATGCGTCCTTCTTAGTTTCTTCGGCTAGTTCTTTGGGATTGATAGTTATGGTGTTCAATTGGTTTGTTTGAAAATGTCCAAACTGGTCAATACTTGTAATTTTTGAATCTTCCACAGGAAATCTTGAGAGGAAATCTGCATTGCCATGGTCACCAGTTCTCTTGAATTCAATTGTGTAGTTAAATCCTGATAAAAAATGGGAGTAGTTGAATAGTAGCTGACATTGACGGTAGGCTCTTGTTGGGATTGAAGATTGACACTAATGGTTTATGGTCCGTGATGAGTGTGAAATGACGTCCGTAGCAATAAGAAAAAAAATTTCTCCAACCCCCAGTATATACCTGTGGCTTCTTTATCGATTTGGCTGTAATGTTTTTCAGCATTGGTCAATGATCTTGAAGCAAAAGCTATAGGCTTTTCACTTCCATCTGGGAAACGATGTGACATCACTGCTCCAAGTCCCACTGGTGAAGCGTCAGTTGCAAGGATCAATGGCAGGTCTGGGTTAAAGTGACAAAGAACTGTGTCACTTGTTATTCTTTTCTTGATGTTTTGGAAACCTTCTTCACACTTACTGTCCCATATGAATGACTGCCCTTTTTTTAGAAGTCTATGTAAAGGATTTAAAACAGTGGACAAATTCTTTACAAACCGGTTGTAGTAATTAACAAGCCCTAGGAAAGATCGGAGTTCCTGTATGTTTTGAGGCCTTCGTGCATTTCTAATTGCTGTGATTTTATCCTTACTTTTGTGGATTCCAGTGGCGTCAATAACATGTCCTAAGTATTCAATTTTCTTTTAAAAAAATTTGCACTTGTCACGGTTCAACTTCAAATTTTGACTCCTTAAACGCTCAAACACTTGCTTTAGTCTATCTAGTAGTTCTTTTGATGACGTTCCTTGAATTATTATATCGTCGAAGAAGCACTGAACACCTTGAAGGTCTTGAAGGATTCCGTCCATCACCTTTTGCCAAACCCCTGGAGCAACTTTTACACCAAACATCAGTCTGTTAACTATGTATTGTCCTTTATGAGTGCTCAAAGTTTGAATTTCTGCACTCTCAGCATCCATTTCCAAGTGGAGATAAGCATTACTTAAATCCAAAGTACAGAACAACTGTCCTCCATTCATTTGAGCAAAAATGTCTTCGATCCGAGGTATTGGATGATGTTCTTCTTTGATTTGTTTATTTACTGTAACCTTGTAATCAGCGCATATTCGTATGTTACCATTAGGCTTTACTACAGGTACAATTGGAGTACCCCAATCGGACTTGTCTGTTTTGGAAATGATTCCAGCTTCTTGAACCAATCTGGTGAGAGCTCTCCATTTTGTGGCTTAGCTTAACTTCAAGAAAATTCAACTTAATACAGACCTATTTTATTTACTTTCTGATCGAACCTTATATTTGAATTCAAAAACTTCTTTATTTTCATCTAGAGTAATTCCAGAAAAACAATTTGAACAAGAGAACTAAATTCAACCTTGATTAATTTTTCACCTATTCTATTCATTGTTTGGACTATTTACCTACCTATCCAAGCCTCCCAAATCTTCATAATTGACATATTTTATTTTATAAATTAGGCCTAAAATATTTGAAGATCTTTTTAGCCAGCCGAGTTCCCCTCCCTGAGAAAATTTATGTAATTAAACTTATTGTAAACTCATTGTTCTGTTTTACTGAGCTAGGCTAAACCAAAGATGGCGACCCTGTATCTGTTCATTTAAATATCAAACCCCATTCATCATTGTAATATCCTAACTCATTCTTAGTTCATTAAATTTGTATTGTAAAGAAATACTTCAGCTTAATCATTTGTCTTTCTATAAGTATATTTAATCTTGGCTTTACTTAGCTTTATAGTAAGTAAAGATACAAACCTGAACCAAGTTTTATTAGTCTAAATTACAAGCACTACCAATAACAAATTTTGTAAAACATATTCAACCAATTGGGTAGTGATAAATCATAATAAACACATAGTGTTTTCTTTTAGTACAAGGTATTTTAAGCCAAGTAGAGGAGATGAGTGTAGGACGAGTGGCGCAATCTTGTAGTCTTGTTAGTAACTATATCCGACATATTCCTTAGACACAGCTTTTAATTAATAGCCCATACAGTTAATGGCAACTAAGGGACCTACAGTTTGTTTTATTCCCTATCAAAAATACATTAGGTTTAACGAGCACTTAGTTTTGCTTCCTCTAAGGGAAAAGGGTTTTTTTTAAATTTCAAAAGTACGAAAACATATAACTGCCATGTTTGATCAAAATATATCCATTAATAAGGAAACTACAACAGTTGACTTTTTCTCCGTAAGAATAACATGGACATTTGCAATATAGGCCTTCAGTTTATTAATATTGGGCTTTTCTATATAACCTTCAATCCTACAACAACGATTTAACTTTGGGTTTTTGAGATCTACACAATGGATGAAATGAAAACAGGGCTTTAAAAAACCATTTTCTGAACAATTTTGAACTCACATAACACCTTGTTCTCATTACCAGATCCTGCTAGTTAGCAGAATATAATAGGGCCTATTTAAGTCAAGGTCTTATTAATTTAGGTTTTAGTTAATTAATCCTTAAACCATGGTGGTACCAACATGTCAAACACTGTTTAATTCTCTTTTTTTCAGATGAGATTATAGTACTAAACAAAAAACGGAATTCAGAAGCGGAGGAGAAAAAAGCTCTTGCTTTCACTATAAACAGCAGAACTCAATCCAGGGCTGGATCCGTGATCAATGAAGATCCACCTTCAGTAAGCCCGATCAAACGTCATCGACTTATAAAGTTAGTCATTTTGTAAACTTATAGTATTATTTTTCATCAGCATATGTTTATTACAGGGTGAAAAAATCCCGGGACAGGTAAATATTTAAAAAAATAGTTAAGGTAGTGCTACAAAAAATCCTACAAAGTTTCTGAGCATTAAAATCAAGCCATTTACTAAGTAGAATACAATGCTATAAATTTGAACCCGAACGGACAACCAAGTCAACAATGGTAGCCGTCCAAAGATTTTTTTAAATCTGCCATTTTGAATATATTGAATGGCTGACATTTTGTGCTCTGTTGTTTTTTTTAAGCTCAAATTTGCAGTATTGTGTCTACTAATGAAGACCTCTAATTTGATGTGCATATTGACCTAAGCTTATGTGCTTCCTTGAGAAGATAGTGAATTGTAGCTTTATAAATACAAGGAATCTTTCTACAGTTAGTTGTCATTCTGGACTCGTCTGTTTGAGTTCGGGAGTTAGCAAAATTGTATTTTACTAACATAGACCTTTGGGCCTTATTTAATGTGCATACAAAATGCATACTATGCTTACACTTTTTTAAGATTTTCTTCTGACTCCTAGTTGGCCATCCCCCTGAGGAGGTAGCGTATCACTGAATTATTTTTTGTTCACGATCTTTTAATGAATTTAACCTTGAAGGAAAGAGATGACTTGACAATTTTATTCATGACAAAGCACCTGTATAAATATCCTGTAATACTCTGTACGTTTTGTGCCAATAAATATTATTTATTCATTTAATAATGTGCTGAAAAGATTTTAAGCTCAGTAATTTTGTACTGAGTTTTTTAGCTCTCTCTTTATTATTATTTTAAATCTTACTAATATTATAAATCTGACAGTTTGTGTGATATTATTGCGCAGGCAAAAATCTTTAAAACCTTGCGAAGTAAATGAAGTTCCGTTGTCTGAGACGATTGTCCTAGGTATGCCATATTTACACAACAAATTCTTGAGCGCTTCTACTGTCTTTTCTGTTGTAATAGGTACTATTTTTGGCCATTGCGAGAAAGCGTCAATCACTAAGAGAAACATTTGTCCGTAAAATGGTCCAGCAAAATCAAAATGGATTCGACTCCAAGGTTCACTTTCTTTGGGCCAGTTGACTAGATGTGTTTTACTTTGTAAATTTTTAGCAAACAAATTACATTCTCGGCAACGGTGACACGTCTGTTCAATTAGGGCATCCATACCTGGCCACCACACATGACCCCAAGCCTCAGACTTCATTCTGACCATGCCATTGTGAGATTCATGCAAGTAGTCCATGATGTAAGTTCCGTATTTAGGTGGAATAACAGTTCTTATTCCCCACAGAAGACAGTTATTATGTAGAGTCAGTGCATCTTTCTTAGAAAAGTGAGGCCTCAAGTTCTCATCTGGACACTTGGTAGGTCAACCAACTTTTACATAGTGCATCACTTTCTTCAAAACAGGGTCCTTAACAGACTCCTCACCGATTGCAGTACAAGTAATGGGGATCTCGGACTGCACTTCTGTTTGAATTGTCGCTACTATTTTATGGTGTCCCTCATCATTGGAATCAAAAGAATTAGGTTGAAATGACGGTAATCTACTCAAACCATTGACTTTACCAAAATCTTTTGTAGATATGTTTTCAATGTCATACGTATAGTTAGACAGTATCAGTGCCCAACGCTGAAGTCTATTGGTAGTTGTGGTAGGTACCCCTTTCTTAGATCCAAAAATTGTAAGCAACGGTCTGTGGTCGGTCTGTAAAATCAAGTGTTTTCCCAGTAGATATGGGCGAAATTGATGGCCAGTCCTTCTCTTTCTATTTGAGAATAGTTCGCTTCAGTGGAAGTCAATGTTTTCGAAGCATATGCAATAGGCTTTTCAGAGTTTTCAGGAAATCTATGAAAAATTGCAGCACAGATTCCTACAGCTGATGCATCTGCAGCAAGAATGATGGGTAACTCTGGATTGTAATGTGTTAGTATTGGTGCATTCATTAACAAGGTTTTTAATTTGTTGAAACTGCGTTTACATTGGTCAGTCCACAACCAATCTACTCCTTTCTTTCGCAATTGATTTACAGGATAACAAACTTTGGAAAATTCTAGTATGAATTTGGAGTAGTATGTAATCATCCCTAAAAATTCCTCCAGTTCTTTGACATTTGATGGCTGTGGCATATCGACAATGCCTTGAACTTAAGAATCCGAAACTTGTAAGCCATTTTTAGTTATTACAAACCCAAGATATGTCACTGTTTCTTCCATAAACTTGCATTTATCTTTGTTCAATTGGAATCCAAACTCTTTAATTTTATTGAAAGTATTCTCTAGATTTTTGTAGTGTTCTTCATCATTGTGCCCTGTAACAATTATATCATCTAGATAGTTTGCTACGCCTGGCAACCCATTCAACATGTTGTACCTACATAACTTTAGAAAATATAGCTGGAGCGGATTGATTGATTGATTGATTCTGTAGGGGCGGACCTTGTCCTGTTGCACGTCAGCCACTGATGGGCTTTTTGCGCTCCCCACATGGTACTTCAGAGTCCGTCAAACCTGAGTTGCTTAATGAACTCAAGCATCCTGTCAATGAGCTCCTCCTGAGGAAGGTGTCTGCCCCTTGTCATTACACCAAGAGTACTGTCCCTTACCTCATTCAGAGCTGTGCAGTCGTAGAGTAGGTGATCAGCAGTCTCCTCTGATTGCCCACATTTCCTACACGCAGTGTCACCATTGTGGATCCTCAAGCGATGCAGGTGTAATTTCAGAAAGCCATGTCCAGTGACCATTCCTGTGATCTGTCTGAGTCGCCTCCTGTCCAAGCGTAGGGCATTGGAGGCGACCGTCTGGGAAGGAGAGAAGAGGGTGAGCTTACTTACCCTATGGTGCTGAAGCCTAACCCATCTTTTCCTGTGTTCCTCCTGAGCCCATGCCATGACTGAGTGACATGCATGCCCACGAGAGATTCCACAGAAAGGCTGTGGTCCCACGAAGTCTGAGGCTGACGCGACATTTGCTAGCCTGTCAGCCACCTCATTCCCTTCTATCCCTGAGTGCCCAGGAACCCAACAGAGCGTTACCTTGTTGCGCCTGCCCAGGTCACATACCGCAGAAAGGCAGTCCCAGACCACCTTAGAATTAAATTCATAGGAATCAAGCGCTTTGAGCGCAGCCTGGCTGTCTGTGAAAATGGAAATGTTGATGTCCCTGAAGCCTAGCCTCAGGTTTTCCCTAGCACATACCATAATCGCAGTCATTTCGGCCTGGAACACAGTTGGGTGAGTGCCCATAGGAAGACAAATGTCCACCCCGTTCTGCACTCCATGAATTCCAGCCCCAGTCCCACTTCTTACCTTAGAACCATCAGTATACCATTCAAGGTTGCCTTGTGGAAGAGGATTCCCACCGGACTCCACTCATCCCTGGACGGAAGGAGGACAGTGAATGGTCTGGCGAAGAAGAATCGAGTCGGCATGTGATCCGAGGGCATGTCCATTACCTCCCCTCTTACCTGCTGAGTGATCCGAGAGTGACCTCGGGATCCTCCAACATCCAACCAAAGGTTTTCACACTGGAGTCTGTAGGCAGTCCTCCTCGCAGTGACCTTGACATGCAGGTCAATCGGAGTGAGGTTGAGAAGGCAGTCCAGTGAGGCTCCCGGACAGCTGCTCATTGCGCCCGTGATGATGAGACAGGCGAGTCTTTGGACGGCAGCCAGATCTCTCACCGCCGACACTGAGTCCATCTTGGGCCACCACACGAGTGAGCCGTATGTCATGGTGGGCCTTACCACGGAGACAAATAGCCAGTGCATGAGCGCCGGCTTGAGCCCCCAGGTTCCTCCCACCATGCGTCTGCAGGCCATGAGTGACCACTTACCTCGATCAATGACCTTTTGGAGTTGTGGCCCCCATTGCAGCTTTCGGTCCAATACCACCCCCAGGTACTTTACCTGATTCTGCATTTCAAGCACTGTGTCTTGTAGTCTCAGAGGTCCAATGCCATTTAGATCGCGCCTCCTCGTGAAGGGGATAACCGCCACTTTGGAGGGGTTGATAGAAAGGCCTACCTCAGTGCACCATTGTCCAACTGACCTCAAGGCTGTGTTCATGAGGTCGGAGACTGTGTTGTTGAATTTACCCATAACTAGTATCACAATGTCGTCCGCGTATCCTTGAACGAATACACCACTATCACTGAGAGATCTAATTAAGTCGTCCACAACAAGGTTCCAGAGAAGAGGAGAGAGTACACCCCCCTGTGGACACCCTCGTGTGGTCCTGGCCTCCAGAACCTCATTGTGAAGAGAGAGTCTTACCTTCCTCCTCTTAAGTAGAGACTCTACCCACCTGCACACCACCTCATGGAATCCACGAGCTCTGGCAGCATTGATTACAGCCTGGGTTTCAGTGTTGTCAAAGGCGCCCTGGATGTCAAGGAACGCCCCAAGGGCAATCTCCTTGAACTCAAACGCCTTGTCGATTCTGCTTACCAGGTGATGTAGGGCAGAGTCACAGGATCTTCCTGGGGTATAGGCGTGCTGGTTTCTATGTAGGGGATTGACTCTGAGGACTGTGTCCCCCACATACCTCAGCACCAGTTTCTCTAAGGTCTTCAACAGGAATGAGGACAGAGAGATGGGACGGAAGGACTTGGGATCCGTGTAACTTGCCTTACCAGGTTTTGGGATGAAAACCACCCTTGAGATGCTCCAGGCCGGGGGAATGTGTCCCAGGGCCAAGCTGGACCTGAACAACTTACTCATTGCCGGAAGTAATATATCGATACCTTGCTGGAGACAGACAGGTCTTACCTCGTCAGGTCCAGGTGATTTGTATGGGATGAGTGACCCTATGGCCCATCTCACACGACTGTGTGTCACAATGTGGCACGCAACCCTCCACCGAGTGTTGTTTGCCCTTGCGACAGCTTGTTCCTCATCCTCCGGCACCAATGGCTCGCTTGGGATGATGCAGCCAGGGAAGTGGGTGGCCGCCATGAGCTTTAGCAC